TTGCCCAGGCGGGTCTCAAACCCGCAGGCTCAGGCAATCCACTCACCTCAGCCTCCCAAGCGCGGGATTACAGGCTGAGCCACCGAGCCCAGCTGAGAACCTAAGTTTCTTTGCTCAGAGCACCAAATGAAGATCTGCCCTCAGATCCCCTATTCTTTCCCATAATTGTTTCTGAGCTGAAGCCTGGATGTGGTGTGGATGCCTTTTTTTGTTTGTAATTTTAGTCATAGCCAGTGAGATGTCCAATGGAAACCTGTATGTGAAGCCGTGCCCACTTCGTACCTTCTTGCCAATGATGTGGTTGAGCTCATTTCCCAGGCTCACTTTTTCCCTGTCTGTAGTATCAGAGCCTGCATTCAGCTGACCCTTGCTAAGTGGGGCCTGGGTTTGCCTCTGGGCTTGTTAGAGGTAGATAAGACATGGCCCTGACCCCAGTAGCCTCCCATGCAGGCAGGGCAGGCATGCTTTGCCACCATGATACTGTTTGGTAAGTGCTGCTATAGGGAGAGACACAGTACCAATGGGACATGGCTATGTTTTGTGCTTAACCATCACTCAGCCAACTCCTTTGGGGCTGAGTACCAACTAGGGGCCTTCATACCTTACTGGAGAGGGAGCACATAAGCCCAGAGGAACTAAGCACATATAAGCTAGTGAGCTTGTTGGGCTCTACCAAGCTTTGGGGCCTGAGAAATGGTAGGGAACCTGGAGAAAGTGGGAGAAGAAAAGCCCCTGCCTTCTTTTAAAACAACGATTTGGGAATATTGAGGGGCCTGGAAACCTGGGATGCAAAGAAATGCCACCATTTAGGGCATTGGTCTTTTCAGTTACTGTTATTGTATGCTTAGTCCCTGTGCCCAGAAGGTCAGTATCTCACAGTGTCCCATCTACAAGATGCTGGCACGAGTGCTAGAAAGGAGTGCCGGAAGGGGACTGTGGACTCAAAGGAGCTTCAGAGGATAAGGTGGATTTTGCCAAGTAGAAAGAATGGAGAAAAGGCCCTCGGACATCGGGGCCATCCACAGCCCAGGCGGGGAAGGTAGCTGCCGGTGTGCTTGAAGGAGGCTGGTCTGGCTCCTGGTCTGTGAACAATGAGCCTTCCTCGGCCACTGTTTTGGGCTTCCCCACTGTGACTGGGGCGGGGACCCCGCTGAACCCCCTGCCCATTTGCATGCAGTGGGGGCTGGAAAGAGGACTGTTTCTGAAGTGATTGATTCTCCGAGGGTGTCAAGAGTTGTGGGGGGTGGCCCACATTTCTCCTTCCTCGTGACAGATGGTACCTGAGACAAAACAGCAGGGCAAGGTGTGGAGTGTCCTTCACTGCCCCAGGCAACACCTGTTCCCAGACCTTGGCCTTTGACTGCTCCAAGCCACAGCCCCAGTCAGGCTGAGCCTTCTGTGAGCAAGTTAGCCTCTGAGCAGACTCCAGCCATGGTGAGCTAGGTCTCACCTCACCCACTCTGGGTACCACCTGACTCGGGCCAGCATTTTGGGCCAACTTTGGCAGGTCTCAGTGCTCCCTGAAGGATATGAATTTTTCTAACTTGGATGCCCAGCAAGACTCAGCCTGTTGGGAAACCCAGCTTCCTGGTGTTCACATCATGTCTCTTCAGTGTCTGAGAGGAGAACAAAGGACGACTTCACTGTGAGAACTTGCTTAAACTCTCAGGCAGTCCTCAGAGGATATCCGGCCACTTGGCACCTCTCTGCCACTGAGCCAACACTGTCTCAAGAGTAACCACTTGAAAACCCTTCTAAAAAGAAGTGTGGATGGAAGAGAAACTGCTCAGAAGCCTAGAGCCGGGAGGAAGTCACCATCAAGTTTGTTTCCCAAACAGGGAGGGGATCAAGAAACCCACAGGTGATGGTCTTGGGAAGAAACGGGCTGCGGTGGCAGCTCCTTGAAGAGAGCGTGGGCCTGGTGGCCAAGGCCGAGGACGCAGGCGTAGCTCATTCTGCACTGTCTGCTTGTCTGCACTTTTATTTTTTTCATTTTTATTTTTTTGAGTTGGAGTCTCACTCAGTTGCCCAGACTGGAGTGCAGTGGCCACTCCCGGCCACCGCAGCCTCGACCTGCTGGGCTTTGGCGATCCTACCGCCTCAGCCTTCCAAGTAGGTGGAACTACAGGCGTGTGCTGCCATACCCAGCTATTTTTTTTGATTTATTGTAGAGATGAGGTTTCGCCAAGTTGCCCAGGCGGGTCTCGAACCCGCGGGCTCAGGCAATTCACTCACCTTGGCCTCCCAAAGTGCAGGGTTACAGGCTGAGCCACCGAGTCCGGCTTGTTTGCACTTTTAAAATTATGTGCTAGGAACCAATTTAAAAATATACATCCTGTATATATAGTCACATATATATTCATATGCATTTTTTAAATTGGTAACACAGAGAGAAACAGAGACAGAAACTGGGTAATGGAGTTGCTGGTGCCTGTCCTCTGTTACCCTTCGTGTCTCTTTCAGGCCCAGATGTGCCTGAAAGGGACACGAAGGGTAACAGAGGACAGGCACCAGCAACTCCATTTTCTTACCTTGCCCTCCTGGCCACCAGGGAGGTTCTAGATCTGGGCCACCATCTAAGATGTATCCATTCCTAACATGCATGTGTTAGCAAGGCCCTTTGAAATGGTGGAGAGAAGAGCAAGGATGGAGACCTCTATGAATCCACCTCTCTGGACCAGGCCCAGTGTCGGTTCTCATGTGTTCCTTATAACGATACTTACTTGGAATGGAGGGGAAACCTGAGGCTCCAAATAGCCAGTTTGACCTCAGCAGACCCAGGTCTGCCTTTCCACCAAAGTCCATGCCAGGCCTAGAAAAGCATGCATCTCCTCATTGGGCTGTGAGTGAGCCCCACTGTGGAGGACTCCTTGGGAGTGGTCCCTGCTTCTGGGCCCCGGAGTCCAGGAAACAGTGTGTCTCCAGCCCGGCAGAATTGGTCCTGCACTTTTCCTGCCTTTCTAGCTGGTCAGCAGGAGCATAGCCAGTATGGAGGTGTGAGTGTGAACCAGCAGTGCCCTGAGGTCCCAACTCTTCCTACAGGAAAAGTTTCATAGTGCCCACCATCGCCACTATGCATTTTTTTCAAGAACCGCAGATAGTTATGGAAACTAGTGGAGAAAAAAGCTGGTATGAACTAAGGAACTTTTAAAAAGGAAATCTGGCCAGGTGTGGTGGCTCATGCCTATAATCCCAGCACTTAGGGAGGCTGAGGCTGGGATTGCTTGAGCCCAGGAGTTTGAAAGATTAACCTAGGCAACATAGTGGGACCTTGTCTCTACAAAAAAAAAGTTAGCTGGGCATAGTGATGTGTGCCTGTAGTTTCATCTACTCAGAAGGCTGAGGCAGGGGGATTGCTTGAGTACAGGAGTTTGAGGCCGCGGTAAGCCATAATTGTGCCATTGCACTCTAGCCTAGGTAACAGAGTGAGACCCCCCCTGACTAAAAAATAAATACATATGTACATACATCATGCATACATACTTACATACATAGGAAATCTAATTATATTATTTCTAAGCTTGTATTTATAGGATTTCAATTTGTTTTGTTTTGTTTTGTTTTGTTTTGTTTGAGTCAGGGTCTCAATCTGTTGTCCAGGCTGGAGTTCAGTGGCATAGTCATGGCTTACTGCAGCCTTGACCTCCTAGGCTCAATCAATCCTCCAGCCTCAGCCTCCTGAATAACTGGGCTACAGGCATGTGCCACCACACCCAGCTAATTTTTTGGCTTGTTTGTTTGTTTTTGAGACAAGGTTTCATTATGTTGCCCAGGCTGGTCTCAAACTCCTGGGCTCAACCCATCCTACAGCCTCAGCCTCCCAAAGTGCCAGGATTACAGGCATGATGAGCCACCATACCCAGCGAGGATTTCCATCTTTTTTGAAAAAATACCCCCAGATAATAAGAGGGAACCTACAATTTATTAAGATAATGAGAAAAAAAGAATGATTTTTGATGAGCACTTTTATTGACTGTTGACTTAAGAAACCTGGGGCAAAATTAATAGAGAGAGCTTATTTGGGCTAAGGTTGAGGACACCCTTCCAAGTTGCATTGGGGAGTGCTCTGTTCAGCCTTTGTTATAGGGAGGTTTTGTTTTTTGGGGTTTTTTTAAGATGAAAAAATATAGTTTATTTAAAAATAAATTAGAACGAGAAAGAGAAGGGAGACAGAAGATTCACCTCCCAAGGTAGGAGAAGGGGCCAAAGCCAGGAAGCTTGGCGACAGCCATAGCTCAAAGAGCACATGGCCACACCAGAGTCTAGCAAGGCAATGACCTATAAGGAGGCTTTTAAAGGCAACAGGGAATAAGGAGCGGAATGATACAGACTTGTTTGGCAGAAATTCTCATTGGCTCACAGAATAACAGTGACTAGTGATGGGCGGTATAGTATTGGACTATAGAGTGTGTGGCATTTCATGGCTACTTGACATGAGTTAGTCTACAGCCCACATAGCCATTGGTTTCAAGAGGTAATTATTTAGCTAAAGCGGGGTGTGAGACATGGCTGCTGTCATGTGCTATCACATTTCAATTCCTCTCTGGACCTGATAATTAAAGGGGCTCACATTCCTCAGAGTAAAAGTTTTTTTTCTTTCTCATGGCAAATAATTATAAACTTGAACTTTGGGAAGCAGTTGCTTTCAAACCACCTTTAGTCTTGGACTCTTGTTTCATTGTATTACTTTATATTGTCCAAAAGGGGGGAAAGGGGTGGTGTTTGCTATCACAGAAACTTGAAACAGTGTTAGCCCCAAAATTCTCCCAATAACAAGTTAGAAATATGCAAATTAATGAGATTATCTAGTCAACAGTTAAGTTTAAATAACCTTTCTGCTTTTTTTTTTTTTTTTTGGCTCAGTGGAAACATTGAGAGCCGAAAGGTTCTTGGAGCTGGGCTTCCTGCTATCCTTGACTTTTTTCTGAAATAGCCCTCTCTTCTGTCTTTTGTCCCTCCAGAGTGGCAGTACTGGCTCTTGGTTGTTTGGTCTCTGTATCCTAGCCCACTTAGTCAAGTTTTCAAACCTACTTCATTTTTTCCCTCAATACACCAAATTCTAAACTCCGTGTTATCTCAAGAGAGCATGTCTTTGTCATGTCTGTTTCATTCTATTTACCTATTAAACAAGATTAGAGGTCTTGGAGGTGAATGACTCTTTTCCTGTTTGGAATGATTGCCACCCTGGGGATCCTAACTTTGCCTCTCAAGCCCCTTGTGACACACACCCAGCAAAACCCCTGTCAGTGCCCAAGGAAGCCACTTCTGAGGAGTGGAGCAGGAGCCATGGGTTCTGTGTTCCCTGGGGCCCTCTCAACACCATGAGGACACCCTAAAGTTCTGACTTGGCTGTTTCAGTGTTTGTAAGCGGTGCATTCGCAAGATGGACCACCACTGTCCCTGGGTTAATAACTGCGTCGGTGAGAACAACCAGAAGTACTTCGTCCTGTTTACAGTAAGTCAGATTCTGAATTCCACCCCACCCTCCCGAAGCACTGGAGCACTTTGTTCTTTTGACAATTCTCAGCATTCACGGCTATTCAGAATACTGCCTGGCCTTGTAGGTCTCTGCCTTCCTGCCAAAGATCTCCCTGGCTCAGCAAGTGCCTGTTCCTAAGCCCTTCACTTGAGTGTTTAGAAAATTGATTCACGTTGATTAGCTGTGATCAAGGGCTGTGTTCTGGGCTCCCATCCCAAGAGTTGGACCTAAGTAAGTAGCTCAAGAAGGCAGTTTGGGTGATGCCCTCAAATCTTAACCTGCAGGCAGGTGGAGTCTCTACTGCAAGGGCTGAAAGAGCTGTTGACCTTGACTTTTCAAGGAAGGAGAAGCAGCAGGCCTTGAGCTCCCTAGCCCCCAGGAAGCCCAGACTGCCTAGTGACCGGGCTTTGTTTCTGTTCTGGTTCCACATATTCCCAGAGATGGCTGCTCACCTCAGAACCAGAGCTGAGGGGCAAGGAGACCTGTGGGGGAGCCATCAGATGCCCCTCCGGTCCACTCCATCAGGCCTCAGCCTAGCCAAGCATTCCTGAGTGGCAGGTTCTGTGTGCCTGTTCTCGGGAGCCTGTGAAATCAGAGGGTTCTCACCACAATGGTGTCTGCACTGCTTTCCTGTTTCAGATGTACATAGCTCTCATTTCCTTGCACGCCCTCATCATGGTGGGATTCCACTTCCTGCATTGCTTTGAAGAAGATTGGACAAGTGAGTATGTGCCAGAGCTTCCCTCCCTGCTCCAGGGTGGGTGTGTGACCCAAGTGGGGCAAGTGCGGGGGAGGGAGGCTCTGTTTCCTGCATGATGCCAGGGGCTAACCTCATTTTATTAGATCTCCTGAAAGCCTGTTGACTAATCAGGGAAAGAACAGCAGAGCCCCGAATCTCTCTTTGTGAAAATACACAGCCCCTTAAAGTCAGTTCGATAGGTAGTCAGTTGGACAGACCCTCTGGACTGAGCGTACCCAGGGAGATTGCAGGCCAAGCAGGCACGGAGACGAGTTCTCGTGAGTGGGAGCAACTGGGAAAGAACTTTTGTTGCTGTGTCTTTAAATGAGGCACTTTAATCAAAGGTCATTTTATTGCAATCTTGCAGAGATTCATTTTTAACTTTCTGGCTTAGAACATGATGATTTTTGCCAATTTGTTTGGTTTTCATGGTAGTTCTTTTTTGTTTGTTTTTTTAACCTTCCAAGTCAGCCAGAACTACTAGCGTGCACTACTACGCCCAGCTAATTTTCGATTTATAGAGACGAGGTCTCGCCAAGTTACCCTGACTGGTCTCGAACCCACAGGCTCAGGCAATCCACCTGCCTCAGCCTCCCAAACTGCTGGGATTGAGCCACCGAGCCCAGCCGGTAGCTATTTTTTTATATTGATAATCTCTACCTTACATTAAGATTGTAGACAAGTTCTCCCAACTTTAGAAGTATCCCGTTTAAATGTATAAATGCCAAGGGAGGAACTCTAGCCAGAATATTGCACAAATCCTGGAGGAAAAAAATAGAAGCTAGAAGAAAAGAAATAGGGGACTGCCTGCTAGGCTAGATCTTCCACACTCACAGACTGTGAGACAAATGTCTTGAGCAAGAAACCTCCTATTTCCTCTGCTTTTCCCTCAGCGGTTCCCATTCTTCATTTCACCATCTTTAGAATGTTTACTCTTTCTGTATATGCTGACATCACCATTTTTTTGGCCACAATTCTGGTATAAATGGGGTGGGTAGGGGAGGGTGTCAAGCTAGTGGATAGTAGGGAGAGGAGGGGGGTAGGAATGAGTGGGCATCTGCAGAACTTTCCACTCTGCATAGCTGGGTGAGTTGCCAGCAAGTTCCTAATTGCTTAGTGAACATTCTGAAAGTACATGTGTTCTGCTAGACCCTGGGGAGCCAGATCAACTCCAGATGTGACCTTGGTGACTTGACAGTAGAGTCTGAGGAGGACATTTTATCAGCTCCCACCCATCATCACGTTAAGATTCTTGGGCAGCGATAGGAGTAACACAGACTGTCAATGAGGCCAAATGTCCCTGTCTTTGGAATGATGCTGCCAGGGGCCATTTCATTAATGCCTACTAGGAACCAGGCATAGCACAGCTTGTTTTATCCTGATAGCCTGCAGGGTAGGAGAGATGTTCCCCACTTTGCAGATGACAAAAGCTGGGATTCACAGAGACTGAGCAGGTTCCAAGGTCAATTAGCTTGCAACTCAAGCCTAGATCTGGAGCAAGGTTTTCCAGCCCTATCAGCTGACTCCAGTGGCCAGGGTCCTCCCAGCCATGCTCTTGATTGTCTTTGGTCAAGATTCCTGATGGAGTAGGCTTTGGGGACCCAGGTCCTAAGGCAGCTAGGCTGGAAAGGCATAGGACTGCTCAGCCCTAATGGAGATGTTGGACCACAGAAGCTGGTGAAAGGGGGTAGGGTGCTGTCCCCTAGGATGAGGGCACTTTGAGTTGATGTTTAAAGAAGGGTAACAAGATGGTCTTACATTCCCTGCATCTGGTTCCAGTCTTCCCTAACTCAGTTTGTAATTCCTGGGGCCCAGCCCAGAAGGGGAAGGATGCTTGCAGCTTTGCAAGGAGAGAGAACAGTCCATGGCCCTGGGCTCTGCCTCCAACTCCAGGGCCACTGAGGTGGGTAAGGAGTGGGCAAGATACCTCCAACCAGTGAGCAACCCTGTGTGCTTATGCCAGGCCAAGGCCAGGCTGCGCAGATGTCCTTTCATGAATTCTTCATCATTCCCCTATATAGCAGGGAAGATGAAATTTCAGAGAACCCAAACCTCTATCCCAGATTTTTCTGTTGTTAAGTACTGTTCCAAGGCCAGTTGTATAGCAGTGAGCAAAGCAAAGTCTCTGTCCTCCTGGAGTGAAGTGTAGTGGGAGAGGCAGATATCAGATACATACAGAAAGAAACAGGTAATTCCACAGTGCAAGGAACAGGAAAGACACAGGGGCTAGAATAGTATATTAGTGTGGGCATCATAGTTGGAGCTCATGATTAAAAATTGGTGGCAGGATCATGCCCTGCCGTGTCTGCCAGACGTCAGAGCCCTAGTTCTTCCCAATACTCTGCCCAGCCCGAGGCCAGGCAAGTGGCTACCACCCAGGGTCAGCCCATCAGTTGGCAGGCCACCCTGACCAAGCCCTACCCTCAAGGAAACAAGAAGAGAAATCATCTGGAGGCATTGTTAAGTTCCCAGGAAAACCTGAGGAGACAAGGGCATTTTCGATGAGATGTTCCTTACCCCACCACCCATATGGCGCTTAGTATCTCTCCAAGCTCATTTCCACATTTGATCCCCCTTGCCCCTCCTGACGTTCCCATGAGGAAGCCAGCAGGGTCGCTCAGAAGGTGCTTACTCCCTGAATTACCACAGCCAGTGAAGCCCAACTCTGCCCTCCAGGGTCTGACCTCTCTAGCCAGGGAAACAGGCCTGAACACTGGAACAACAAGAAACAAACCACAGCCCAGGCTCAACCAGCACAGGAATCCCGAGTGCCAACCAAGAGACTGCTGATGCCTTCGGCTGAGCCAGACACTTCCCAGGGCTCCTCTCCCTGCTTAGTGCCTCTGCTTTTTTCTAACAGGCACTGGTTTTCTGACTTAGGCTTTGCTTAGACAAAGGATTCAGCTGCTAAAAACAAAACCACACCTCTAGTCAAACCTCACAGCTTTACAGTGGAGGGGGTGGTGGCCTGGAAAGAGTGGAAGCTTGCCTCAGGTCACACCCCAGATTAGGGTGGGCCCATGGGTTAGGGGCCAGGACAGTGAAAATACCTACTCTGGGCCAGTGTCTCTTTGGTTGACTCCCCAATCTTTAGGACTGATGGTGTCAATGACATAGATGTCCCTAAGGGGGGCATTATTTCACACTGTGGTCAGGGTTAAGCCTTGGCTGTTAGACTGCCCTTTGCTTAGCTTCAAATCTCAAAGCCACCACATGATCCTCCACACCTGCTCCTCTCTCCCACCTGTGATGATGGAGGCCCAGAGAGAGGTAGCATGTCATACAGAAATGCCCAGAAAACCCAGGCCAAACCAGGACTGGATGGGCCTCTCTACCGTGTACCCATATTGTGCTTTCTGAGGGAGGGCTGGTCAGGCCTTCATGCCGCAGTTGAGTCCTTCCTTGGTCTTTCACATGCCAGGCACTGTGCTTGGCACCAGAGACAGTGAACAAGGAATTAGCGTTGGGAGAAGCCCCATCTGGGGCCTGGCCTGTTGAAGAGGCCTCCCTAAGGGAATAACAGGTAGCCAGGTGCAGGGGAGGAAGATCCCCACTGAGGCCTGGAGGAGCCAAATCCTGCAGGCTGGAGACAGTGGGAGCCCAGGCGAGCAGAAAGCCAGGGTAGTGAGCCAGGCAGTGGGCAGCAGCCCCAAGCCCCCATGTTCCTTGTCTTTCAGAGTGCAGCTCCTTCTCGCCACCCACCACGGTAATCCTGCTCATTCTGCTGTGCTTTGAGGGGCTGCTCTTCCTCATTTTCACATCAGTGATGTTTGGGACCCAGGTGCACTCCATCTGCACAGATGAGACGGTAAGGGGGGTCTGCCTGTCACCTGTGCACCTGGGGTTGGGAGAGGGCTGCTCTCAGGCCAGACCTGAGGCCCCCTGGCCAGGCCCCCAGTGTGTGGGCACAGCTCCTTCATTTGCAGTGACACTTGGGTCTTCTTCATGCCTACACAAGTCCTCCAGCCTTGGGGCAGCCACAGCAGGTCACACCAGAGTGGAGCTTGGCAGCCGTGGCTGAAAGGCTGCCTTTACCATGAGTCCTTCCATTCCTCTGTGAAGGGCCTTCCTGTACATTGTGCTGTGTCGGGTACTCCATTGGGCACTGGGGACACCCTTCCTGCCTGGGGCCACAGACTTGGAGATAGGGTGGTCGAGAGGGCACCCTAACCCAGCTAGGATAGGCAGGGTCAGCATTCCAGAGGCAGTGACACCATGACTGGGTCGTGAGGGCAGAGTCAGGAAACGGATCTGCCTCGATCCCCCAGGGCAGCAGGCTCTTGCCTGGCCTCAGGGTCACCTCTCCTGGTCTAGCCCTGGCCCTTGTCCACTGCCTTCCCCCAACCCCACTCCCACCTCCCATCTGCCCACGGCTCCTTCTCTGTGAGCTTTGAAGCTGGTGGCTGGGCTAGACTGGGGTCCCCCTTCCCTGGTGCCCCTGCTGCCATCTCCTGACCTTCCTAAGGTGTCCAGAAGCCTCATGGTGATACACCATGGCTGTGAGGTGGGCATTTCTTCCTTTTTTGGCTTCGGGGTCCAGATAAGGGTCTCCAAGAAGAAGGGACAGTGCTTAGCTCCAGGCATGAGGTGCCTGGTGTCAGTCCCTCCTCACATGCTCCTTGGCAGTAGCAGCTCTCAACAATGCTCCAGGGGCTTAGGGTGGGGGTGGTGTCTATTGGGTAATCAGCATTAGGTGGGGGCTCACGGGAAGACAGAGTCCTCCTGTGGCCACTGGGCTTCCCTCCCATGGGCTTAGAGAAGCGTGTGCAAAGAAAAGAAGGGACAGTGCCTGGCCACCAGAGCACCATTGTTTGGGTCTGTGGAACTCCAAATGCTTTAGAGGGTTGCCGGGTCTCAGCAAATTTTTTCTTGTATAAGAAATAGTATCCAGTGGTGTCGATCCAGCTGTGTATCCAAGCAGTAAATGTGACCCACTTCTCGGTGTAAGACCTGCAGGGAACCTGGAGGTGACTGTCAGGCCCTGCCTGCCATCAGGATGCCGCCAAGCCCGTGGGCCGTGGTCTGGGGGAGCCAGAAGGCAAACGACCTAGGTCCTGGTTGTTCTTCCCACCGAGGCCATTCTTTAAGGGAATTGTGTTGCAAAGGAAAGGAAAAAGGAGTGAAGCATCCTGCAGCTCATGGGAAAGCATGCCTTCCCCTTGCCTCGTGCCCTTCCCAGGTCCCTAGGCTATAAAGACAGACAGGGCTGTTCCCCCAGGCGCCCCTCACCAGACACCACAGCAGACAGACCCCTGGCTGGGCTTTTACCGGGCTACTCCTCTCCGGTCCCTCTGGACAGGGCCCCATTCTCAGGCCCTGCCCTTTGACCAGCTCTTGATCCACTGATCAGCTCCATCTGAAGAAGGAAAGGGGAGGAAGCAGCTTTCTCCCCAGCCTCCATTTTTTCCTGTGAGACTTGGGTGGGATATGGCGCAGGCTCTGCGACAGCTGCTGCATAGGTCCTTGCCTCACTTCTCCTCAGAGGAGCACTAGGAAGACCTTCGCCATGACTGAGGCTGACTGGCCTAGCCACCCTCTAACCTGTACTAATCCCTCCTCCTTCCTCTTCTGTGGTGACTTCTCCCTTCACCCATGATCTCTCACTCCTGTTTGACCTTCTCAGTTTGTCTTGCCAGTCCCACTAAGCGGAGTTCTTCTTGATCCCCCAGGCTGGTGAAACTCACAGCACCCGAGCAGTCATTTGATTTGTTAATTTTTTTTTTGTCTGCAAAGTGGTCATGGAGGCTTCAAACTTCCTAAGAACCTATCCCAACTGAACGGCCATTATCGGTCATGATGACTGCAAGCTCCCTGCCAGCTCCAAGGCATCTCAGGAGCATCTCCAAAGCCTTCACAGCGCTCCCATTCACAGCCCAGCATGAGGCTTCTCAGGAGCCTGTGAGGGCCTGAGTCTGGACAAAGGAGCTCCTTCCCCTGGCGAAGCACACTGGATCAGCAGAGTTAGGAGCAATGGCTTAGGTGCCCGCTGGTTTTGCTCATTTTTCCCTTATTGGAGGAGTTTGTAAATGCGTGCCTAACAAAAAAGTATGACTATTTTCTGTAACATTTTTTATGAGCAAAAGAGGAGAAAGATGTTTTCTGTAGATAGTCTTGTTGCCTTAAAAAGGAAGCATTTACTCCATTCACCTCAAGCTATGGACATCCCTCCCCAAAAACTACAGCAATGAAGTGCTTGACTGAAAGTATCATTGTTCTTGTTTTCAGGGAATAGAGCAATTGAAAAAGGAAGAGAGAAGATGGGCTAAAAAAACAAAATGGATGAACATGAAAGCTGTTTTTGGCCACCCCTTCTCTCTAGGCTGGGCCAGCCCCTTTGCCACGCCAGACCAAGGGAAGGCAGACCCGTACCAGTATGTGGTCTGAAGGACCCTGACCAGCATTGCCACTCAGACACAAACCACATCACAGCACTACCGTCCGATCCGTTTCCATGAATGTTTAAATCGAAAAAGCAAAGCAACTCCTTAAAACTTTTTTATGTCTCAAGTAAAATGGCTGAGCATTGCAGAGAAAAAAAAAGTCCCCACATTTTATTTTTTAAAAATCATCCTTTTGATTTTTTTGGTAACCGAAGCTGCTCTTTTTGTTTGTTTTAAAATCACTTCTCTAGTCTCTGGTTTCCTCTCTGCTGTCTGTCTGGCATGACTAATGTAGAGGGTACTGTCTCCGGGCTGTGCCCACTTCTACTAACTGAGTGAGACGTGATGCTGTGCGTGCATGGACCAGTTCAGACGCCTGGTGGGGGACGCATAGGAAAGCCAAGAGGGCCCTGATCTCCGACTGCCCAGGAGGCAGTGGCAGGTGCCCCATAAAACGTAAAACCTCACTGAAGATGGGTGCTTGCCCCCTTGAGACCTGAGATGGGCAGGATCAGGGATGGATCCTTCAGAAGGGCCCTCGGGCACAGTGGCCTCATCCCCCCCAAGTGGACACACTTTGCCTCCTAATTCACAAATTCAGTTGCCTGCCTTGTACTTTATGTGCTTGGGATGTGTAGAATCATTTCGAGGGTGGGAAGAGAGATGAAAAGGGTCTTATTTGTACTCCGAATCAGCAATTATATTCCCTCTGATTATTTGGAAGAATGTGAAGGAAAGAAGTTTTTCCAGTTCAAAATGCCTTACACAATCAATAGAGAAAAAAATCATGCAATTTCAGGCAAGCTACTTTTTCCTTTGTTATGTCTACTTCATCTTCTGCCACCCCACCTCCCTCCCTCCCCAAGCAAGATGTCAGTTAAGCAATGTTAGTTAGTTCTGAGTGCTGCAGATACGAGTGCCCAGCAAGTACAACTCCACTTCAGCACCTTCTCATTTTGCAAACTTGTAAGGCGATTCACTTTCTGATACTTAACCATCAACATACACGTACCTGTGTCTTATATTTTATCCTGGGAGGTTGTTGTCCTGGCAGGGGGCTGACCGTGATGCTGGGGTGATATCATAGGCCCCAACCTAAGTCGATAGATGGCCATCCCATTGGCTAGAGTCGGCAGGTACACCTAAGCCTGCAGCGCTGGGACAGAATTTCCACGTGGGAGACACTTCCTGTGTGAGACTCCTTGAAGGGGGCTGTGAAGATGGCTTGAGCTGAGGAGGTGGGGAGTGCCCTCAAGATGCAAAAACACCAGATCTGAATACTGACCATCTGCGAATTCCTACACACTGATTTTTTTTTTTTAACCAATTGCCACAAACTCCCTTTTTTAGCTTTTGCGTGGGGTGGGGGTGGGGGATAATTATCTGGTCTTGGGTAGGGAGAAACTTAATCTAGCCATGTGATTTTTCAGAAAAGCAAGTGGAACATGCTGCCTCTTTTCAATTCTGTCAGTGCTTCCACATGGAAAAAAATGCAATAAAATTTTTCCAAAACCTGTCTGATTTAGCTCTCCTCTTTTGCATTGTACCCTTAGGAAAGGAAAGGACAGGGGTTTTCCCTGGTTGAGTCTCTCTCTGGTTGAGTCTCTCTCTTTCTTTCTCTCTCTCTCTCTCTCCCTCCCTCCTCCCTCCCCCCCTCCCCTCTCTC